CTTCATCATCATCATCATCATCATCATCATCATCATCATCATCATCATCATCATCATCATCATCATCATCATCATCATCATCATCATCATCATCATCACTACAGGCAGGTCGAGGTTTTGGGGCGGCCACGGGGGCTATCCCGTTCGGCAGTGCTGAGGCCAGTTACTCGGACCAGCCCTTCTTCGGCAAGTGGATAGCTGTGGTCAAGCTACTGGCTACCTACCAGGTGATTCTTCTCTGTCTGTTTGTGTTCTTGTTTTGTTTGTTTTAGTAGAGGTTTTACGGCCCTCGCACCTGCATAAGGTCGTATGAGCGACAAGGGTTGGACGTCAACAGAGAAGCCCTTACAGGGAATCAGACTTACTCTGCTCACCTCTCTAGCTTCAACAGTACAAAGTCTGCTTCGACTATCAAGGCACTCCGGAAATAGCGGGTAAACATACAAAAGAAGTAGAGGAAAATGACGATTGTAAGGATTAGGAAAGAAAAAGCAACAGTTCCCTGTTATACTTCAGGCACAGTTATGAACATGGCATTTAGAATTCTACTGTGTATTAGAACGAGAAATGTCCCCCCTTTGGGAATGGCCTAAAGACACTTCAGTCAGTGGCACCGCTCCGGGGGGAGCCTGTTTGTGTGACTATCGTCTTTTCTGTTTGCCTTTTTTTCTTTTGCTATTTTGATTGCTGCTTTCTTGTTGTTACTTTGTTTGTTTGTTTTGATTTGTTTTGTTCGTTTTTTGCTTTTTTTTATTTTTATTTTATTTATTTTTATTTATTTATTTATTCATTTATATACCCGGCATATTCATTCTTTATTATTTATTTATTTATATATGTCTTTTTTCTGTGCCCTTGTTGTAACGATGACTTTAAGACTTAAAAAAAAAAAAAAAATGACTTAAATTCGTCTTTTTTGCTCGTCTGTTATGTTTGTGGGGTGGTCTTTTTTGTGTGTCCTTCTCGTTTGTACCTTTTTAAATATTTTGTTTGTTCAGACTGTAATTTTTTTGGCGATTGAGTTTTATATTGCGTTCAACTTCATATATTTAATTTGTTAATGTTGACGTGTCTTTTAAAACTGTTTTGTTGTCTGTTATGTTGATTTCGCCCCCCCCCCCCTTTCTCTC